CCACACACACACACACACACACACACACAAATAAATAAATTTTTTAAAAAGTTATCTTAAAAAAATAAATAAGTTTATATTCAGATTTTTCCAGTTGGCCCCAAAATATCTTTTATAGATATTTCTTCCCATTGGGAATCTAACAAAGATTCATGCATAGCATGTAGTTGTGGTGCCTCTTAAATACCATTATGAATTCACATAATTGTCTTTTAGAATGTCCACCTTACTAGATGCTCTGATTGTTTCCTTGAGGTTAGATTCAGGTTAAAGAAGTTTGACAAGAATACTGCAGAAATAGTATATATTTTATTACATCTGCCTATTGGTGATAATAGTTACTATTTTTATTGTCCTAATGAGAAAGTAGACTTAAGATGTTAGTGCTACAGGGTTGGACCATCTGATGTCAAGGCACATGTAACTGACAGTTCTAAAGAAACTCTGGAAGAATGAAAGGGTGAGGAATAGTGTTATTGTATGCATGACGCGCACTAGCATAGATAGGCTCAACTCAAAAACTTACTCTGAAACAGTAACATTTTGAGGCAGTGATAGTTTCAACAAAATAATGTTATTTATCATATCGAATTGACAGTTACCCAGGCATGGTGGTGCATGCTTGTAACTCAGCACTGTAGCAGACTGAGCCAGAAGGATTACAAGTTCAAGCCCAGCCTGGGCAATTTAACAAGACCCTGTATCAAAAAAAAAAAAAAAAAAAAGAGTACACTCTTTTGTATCAAAAAAAAAGGTATGCAAAGGCTCTGGATTCAATTCTCAGTACCACCTGCCCCTAAATTGATGCTATTAATAATTTTGTAGTTTCATGTCCGATTTCTGTCATAATTTTTACCTATGTAATCATCAAATTTATACCAAGTTTTGTGTCATCTATAATTTAAGAAATAGGATAACAAAAACTATTAGTACTCACTATTGGAAAACCAAAATAGTATCTTTTGTTGGCCAGCAAGATAGCTCAATGGACTAAGCGCCTGCTTTGGCAAGCACAGGGACCAGGGTTCAATCTCTAGTCCTTTGGCAAGCACAGGGACCAGAGTTCAATCTCTGGTCTTGCATGCCATGCCAGCCCTGCCCCCAGGCCGCACTGAGCTGGCAGCTGAGTCTGGGTGTGGTGGTGCACACCTGTAATCCCAGCACTGAGGAGGCTGGGACAGGAGGATCACTGAGTCTGAACTAGTGAGACCGTGTATCAAATAAATAAATAAATAATTTTTTTAAAAAGATTTCTGTAATAGCAGTTAGGGAAAGCAGCACATTATGAAGTATCTGGGCTCTGGAGTCAAAAGGTCACTGGTTATTAAAAAAGCCTAACCCACTTTTGGCATGTGAGCCTCTTTGAGCCTCAGTTTATATACCTGGCAAATACAAACCCTACCCATTTCACAGCATAGGACAGAATGAAGCAGTTTTGTAAGCTTTGAATGTTTTGTTTATATACAGTGCAGTTGCCTTCTCAGTTAAAAATGGTCTCTTATAGTTGTATAAGAATCTTCTAATGGGAACTGAATTTCTCAAAGTTCATTACCCAGTATGTATGGAAACTACATAGTAGTAAAATAAGAACATCTTTGAAGAGTGTCTCAGCAGTAATGTTCAGCTTAATGCTAACACTGATCAAAACTGTTCATAGAAGAAGTTTCCTTTTCCCTGTAACCTTTTGTACCACTCACTATAGACAGACAAATGTCGTTGTTCAGCTGTGCGGGTGGAGGGCTCAGAGATGTAACTGTGGGCGGCCTGGACAGCAGCAGTGACCTCAGCTGTGTAACCTGGATGAACTTTTTCTAGAAAGCAGGCCAGTGACTTGATTGGAATCGTAAACTCCTAGAGAGACAGGACAGATCCCCCCCTTGGCAAGGGCACTAATATTACTGTCATGTCTGCACTTTCAGTGGAAAAGGGGAACCTGTGACTGAACTCAGCTGGCACTCCTGTCGGCAGCTCCTCTACCAGGCGGTGGCCACCATCCTGGCCCATGCAGGCTTTGAGGGTGCTAATGAAAGTGTGCTGGAGACGCTTACTGACGTGGCGCATGAGTATTGCCTTAAGTTTACCAAGCTGCTGCGCTTTGCTGTGGACCGGGAGGCGCGGCTGGGACAGACTCCTTTCCCTGACGTTATGGAGCAGGTGTTCCATGAAGTGGGTATTGGCAGTGTGCTCTCCCTCCAGAAGTTCTGGCAGCACCGCATCAAGGACTATCACAGTTACATGTTGCAGGTGAGCTGACTTGTGTGGAAGTGGACAAAGTTGTCCAGCCCAGGGATGTTCAGCAGGATCCCAGGATCCTGTGTGCAGAACACAGGATTTGGCATGAATATAACATTCTTTTCTCATGGCCTCAGCTGTTTTTCCCTGATCCAGCCAGCTATTAGGGTCCTGCTTTAATCATGGACAGCCCATTCATTGATATTCCTTCTGTAAGAAATTCTACACAGGAGTCTGCATGCATGCGGGTAGCTTTTTTTATTCAGTAGATACTTATTTGGCCTTGTGAATCAGTCATTGTGGGGCATAGCAGTCATCAAGATAAGTTTCTTGAACTTTTGTAGTCTTGTTGAGGGGAAACAAAAACAGGTAAACAATGATCATAATGTTAAGTGCTATACAAAGCAAAGTTTTTGGGGTAATAATTGTTTGGGAAGATAGAGAGGAGGACATTTTTGGTTAGACCACACATCTCTTCAATCCCTGCATGCACACAAGTCATCTGTTCACTGTTGCAGTTTCCCAGACTTAAAATAGGATTAGTAAATTTTAGCATGCAACAACCAAAAAAGACTTTGCTAAGTGATCTGTATTTCCCACCTACTGTGTTACTGCCTAATGTTACTTTTTATAGACAGATGTGTAATCTTTTCTCCCTGATTTATCTGTGACACAGTCTAATCCTATTTTTTTTTAATTTTTAATTGATGAAACCACATTTTGTTTACAAGTCTCTCACACTTACAAATGCTCACTTAACACCTCAAAGACAATCCTTCCCATGGCAGAGGAAGGTTTTGTTGTTTTGCTGTGCTAGAGACTAACCCCAGCAGCTTTGCTGAGCAGGCCTGCTCCCCCTGAGCTCCTCACCCAACTCCAGCAGTGGCACTGTAAGAACTTTTCTGTTACCCATATTTTGTTGGCTTTTCCTTGGGATGCCACGTACTAACTGTCCAGTTTGCTCCTAAAATATCCCTGCAATATTAACTCCTGCTTGCCAGCAGATTAGTAAGCAACTCTCTGAAGAGTATGAAAGGATTGTCAACCCTGAGAAAGCCACGGAGGACACAAAACCTGTGAAGATCAAGGAGGAACCAGTGAGCGACATCACCTTTCCTGTTAGTGAAGACCTAGAGGCTGACCTCACTGCTGGAGACCAGTCCCTGCCCATGGGCGTTCTCGGGGCTCAGAGCGAGCGCTTCCCTTCTAACCTGGAGGTGGAAGCCTCACCACAGGCTTCAAGTAAGAGATAGCAGTGTATTCCATTTTGATTTTTGGAGCTCTGCTGACTTTAGAACTCAGTAGCATTTAGGAATCCAGCTCAGGAGATGGGTGAACAAAACTAGGAGTAGGCAGAGTGGACAGTGACTTATGTTTAGTGATCTAGAAATCCCAGAATTATTCTAATTAGTGAAGAGGGGACAAACATAGCTTCACAGGTTTTCTTTCCAGTAATCTCCAGATAGGATGTGGATGCTTTGTGTGTTGTCTGTTGATTGCCAGGATGGATTCAGCTGATGGACCTTGATAGGCAGATACCCCTTCTTTTAGGATTCTGTGTTAGTCCTTGCTGGTGCTGGTAGGTAGTTAACTAAACAAGGCAACTTTCTTCCACACAAAGGCTGTGGTGTTAGGAACAAAGACAACTGACTGATTACTTACGTCAGTTAAATTAAGACATTCACAGCAGACTATAATTCATGTATCTTCATCCCAGGCAGCTTGAACCACAGTGATTATTAATTTTATTAGTAAAAAGATTGATAAAAGTGATTAGATCCATTTGTACCACCAGTGGTACCAGCTGCCTGAAACACAGTCATAAATATACCATTGGAGCTTCAAACCGGCAGGAATGTGTTAATCTGGGCACTTAGTTGTTTATAAACATAAATTGTCACTTTATCCATGCAGAAATAAGTCAAAGAGCAGATCCGTAAATGTAGCCTAAGTGTTGGGAAGAGAGCCTTTCACTGTGGAAGAAGTAATAACAATCCCAGGATTGCTAGACTACATAGGGTAGGGCATGCCACAGTGGGCTGTGTATCATTGAAAGGTTTGCTATCACTGGGGTGGAGTAGGGACCGATGTAGGGAACATAACTCCTGTCAGCGTTATGTAGAGATCACGAAGTTTTCATAATGTGAGAAAAGACCAGAGAAAATCCAAGAGGAAAACAAGACAGCCTCATAAAACAAGAAAGGACAGGCAAACCATACAAGTGAGTAAGACCCATAGCTGTGCCTGCTTTTTTATTTTCATACTGAAGATTGAACCCAAGGCCTTCGCACTGAACTACATTCCCATGGAGCCGGGGAGATGGCTCAGTAGAATAAGTGCTT